AAAAAAAGAAAATTGGTGCTTTTAGTTTTGTTCATACTTATGTATGAACATCAATACTCATATCTATACCAGCGGGTGCAAATAAACACCCGCATAGATAGTTAATATGTACTTACATATAAACATGCTGATATGAGTATTGTTGTTTATTTAGGTTTTAATTTTAAGTTATACGTACATATGTACATATGTACATTTCAATGTATACAATAGTTTAGGATAAGAATTTACTATAAATAAAGGCGCTTCAGGAAACTGAGGTTGAGTTCTATCTGAGTTCTATCTGAGTGCCATAAGTGTCCGTGTATCATCTCTGTACATTTGGTGACCCCTAGTCCGAACTAGTTGCGCGTGTTAAAATGAAATTATAGTTTCGTGAGTGAAAAAAAAAACTTAAAAATGGATCAACAGTTCCAAACAGCTGACTAGGTACAGAAGATGCACTTCAAGGCAAGGGCAGTTGACTTGAATGAAGGCATCGAAGGGATTTCGAAGCTCAGAGACAGCCTTGATGAGTTGTGGAACTCATTCAGCAGCGGCCATCAGGAGCTTCTAAAGGACCCCAGCGCCAAAAAACCCGCATATTTTAAAGATGGCGTCGCTGGAAAAGTAAGTACGCTCTACACAACAGCGTACGCAAGGGTAAGTGAACTCGTTAAAAAATTAAACAATTCCTCTAATACAAAAGAAGAAAACTTGAGACCTGGCTTAGTCCGCAGGCTTAAATTTCTGCTAATTGATTTAGAAAAGAAAATTGAAGCCTGCAAACTGAGCGAAACCACTTTAGAAAGTACTGAAAAAAACCCTTGATAGAACGAAAAATGTCGTGTTAGAATATCTGGATCAGTTTGAAGAAAACGAACTCATCTGCAAATTCTATGAATTGAACGACAATTTCGATGGATTAGCAAGGGAAAATAAAAATCAGGCTTCAAGTGCTCAATATCTCTTACCTCAAATTGATTTGCCCGTTTTTTCTGGTGACTATGCACAGTGGCAAACGTTCAAAGAACTATTTGAACATCTGGTAGTCTCCAAGAATATTTCAGACACATATAAAATGTGTATTTTAAAAACGAAGCTGAAAGGTTCAGCAGCAAGTTGCATTGCAAATTTGCAATCAACTTCAACAAATTTCAATGTGGCCTGGAATCTTTTAAACGAAAAATTTACGAATAAAAGATTGCTGGCAAATAAATATTTTAAAAATATTTTAGATGCACCAGTAGTGACTGAGACTGCCTGCAGTGTGCAATCATTTCAGGAAAAGCTTTCTGAAAGCATACAAGCCTTGGGAACTCTCAGTTTGTCCAATGAAAAAATGTTACAAGCGTTATTATGTTATATACTTGTACAAAAGTTGGACAATAATCTAAGGTTAAGGTATGAGAATTCCTTAACGAATTCGAAAGAAATACCAGACCTTGATTCACTACAGAAATGTCTGAGTCATGAAGGAAACGCCTTGGAAGCAGCACATGGTGTTATCACCTAAACCACAAAAAGTGCTTAAAAAGTGCATACTGGGATGTAACTTTTCTCATCCTATTTTTTATTGCCAGAAATTTAGAGCTCTTAATACCCAAGAAAGGTGGGACAAAATAATACTAAATAAATTATGCAGCAAATGTTTGAAGGCAGGGCACAGCGGTAATGAATGTAAGAGCATTAATTGCAAAAATTGTAATGGTAGCCATCATTTTATGCTTCATAAAGAAAAAGAAAAGCAACCAAAAGCAAAAAGTGTGATTGTGAAATCTAATGCAGATGATATCAAAAGTAAAATTTGCTTACTTACCACTTCTATTATTGGAATTAAAGCGCGTGATGGAAAAATCGTAAGGGCACGCGCTTTACTAATAACA